ATGAAGTTGGCTATGGGAGCTGATGCACTGCCTGACCACTCTTATCACCAGGGGATTCTGAGGTTTAAGGGTAGGATATGGATAGGTGCAGGCTCCGGGTTAAGACAAAAATTGATCTCCTGCTTCCATGATTCTTGCCTTGGGGGGCACTCTGGAAATCATGGTACTTATCAGAGGATCAAGAGCTATGTGTATTGGCCCGGAATGAAGAGGGAAGTGGAACAATATGTACAGGGGTGTGATATTTGTAAGAGGAGTAAGAGTGAAAATTGCTCTTATCCAGGACTGCTGCAACCATTAGCTATACCTGAGCAAGCTTGGCAACAAATTTCTATGGACTTCATAGAGGGGCTACCCAAGTCTTTTGGCTGCAATGTCATCTATGTAGTGGTGGATAGGTTTACTAAATATGCTCACTTCATTCCTATGACCTCTCATTACACTGCTAAAAGTGTAGCAGAGGCCTTCTTTGATCAAATTTTCAGGTTGCATGGCTTACCAACCCACATTGTCTCTGACAGGGACAGGGCTTTTACTAGCCTATTCTGGCAGGAACTTTTTAAAATGCTGGGCACAGAGCTCAACTTTTCTTCTGCTTACCACCCTCAATCTGATGGACAGACTGAGAGGGTTAACAGATGTGTGGAGAGCTATTTGAGAAGCGTGTGCATGGATCAACCAGGGAAATGGAGGAAATGGCTTCCTGCAGCTGAATGGTGGTACAACACCAACTATCATAGCAGTCTGCAAATGCCACCCTTTCAGGCCTTGTATGGTTACAAACCTATCCAGCTGAATCTGAGGCCTGATACCACGTTAGTGGCTGCAGTGGAAGATTGGGCACAGGAGAGATTGGGGTGGAATTCCTTGCTCAGGGAGAACCTGCTAAAGGCTCAGAATAGAATGAAACAGTTGGCTGATAAAGGGAGGAGTGACAGGGAATTTGAAGTGGGAGAGTGGGCTTATCTGAAGCTCCAACCTTACAAACAAACTTCTGTAGCCGTGAGAAGGAATTTAAAACTCACTGCCAAGTACTACGGACCCTATCAGGTGGAACAGAAGGTAGGTACTGTAGCCTATAAGTTGCAGCTACCTGCAGGGTCTAACATCCATCCTGTCTTTCATGTCTCACTGCTCAAGAAGTCACCTAAGGAGGCTCCAGTCAGTACTACATTGCCTACCTTGAATGCAGATAGTGAGTTCGAGGTAGTGCCCTTAGCAGTATTGGACAGGAGAACAATTTATAGGAAGGGTCAGGGAATAGATCAGGTGTTGGTGCAATGGGAAAACATGGAACCTGAGGAAGCCACTTGGGAAGACCTGTCGTTCATTCATGCCCAATTCCCTGCTTTCACAATCAATCAATCCTAGAGACTAGGATTATTTTTAGGGGGAGGTATTGTTATGGCCCGTATCAGTTCAAGCTTCATGCACAAGCTACCAAGATGAGTCAGCAAAGGAATGAGCAGAGGAAATGTGATCACAAGGGCAGGATCACGTGGCTGAGCATTATTACAACAGAATTAGGAAGTTAGTTATTTGGCGGGAAAGTTAGTTAGTCAATTGCAGATTGTTTTCTTGAGCTGAAGGCTCTAATCTGTATAAATAATGCGTCTGTCTACTAGGGAGCTTAGCTTGATTGTAATCCAGATTTTCCCTCTCAATAAGATCTCATCTTTCTCCTTCTCTGCCCTTTCTTCTCTTTCCCCCAATTTCCCTTTCTGATCACTTCTCTTTTCTCCTTCTATCTCTTATCCCTAATTCAACTCTGTCTGATCCATTACAGAGAGAAAAGAACGACAATGGATTACGATTGCTTCAATTTCCTTCGGTCAAAGCCAGAATGGAAAGCAATGACCAAAGTCCACGATTGCGGCTCTCTTTAACTTTCTCTCTTCTCTCACGCAAGAAAACATACGAGAGATTGGAAGAATGTAATTGTTTTTTCCTTCTCAATTTGGTCAAAGGACAATCAATAGTTCATAGAATCCCCAAAGTCAACAAAAGGTACTACTGTCTCCTCCTCCCTCTCCAGAGCTGCGGCTCTCTATTCTCTTTTTAACACCAAAAATGAAGACCCCCTCTTAACAATTAGGTTTCTTCAGCTTCTCAAACGGGCCCCACGTCCGATGCATCTTCTACAAATTGAATTTAAGCACTTTTCGGCAACCATCCCTGCAATTAGCACCAAAACAAAATATCAGTAGAATCCACCCAATTAACGAAAATACTTAGTCAATTAATTGTGCAATAATGTCCAAAATACCCACTAAAATGCAACCTATCAGTTATATATATATATATATATATATATATATATATATATATATATATATATATAAAAGTTGCTATTTTAATCACATTGCTTCTCACTCCTATGTGGCATGCCTAATTAAAGAGAATTAACGGGTTATGGGTCAATTGGATTTTAGTCATACTAAATCCTATTTGGATTATATTATATGTTTAAAAATTATATCTAATTTTAAAATACCTTTAAAAAATAACTTTAAAAAATAACTAATCTTATCTTAATGATATCTGCTTTTTATCATATTATTACAATGATTATATTATATGTTTAAAAATTATCTTTAATTTTAAAATAATTTTAAAAAATAACTATTTTTATCTTAATGATATTTGCTTTCTACCAAATTATTACATGAAAGTATAGTAAAACCTTTTTAAATCGTAATTATTGAAATCTTACATATCCTATAAATTACTTCCTTTCACCACTATATTATTTATTAGTATTCAAATTGTTCATCATCTATTCTTAATTTTGAATTAATTTAGTGTAAAAAAAGAAAATTAATTGTCACATCGATAGATTTACCAATGTTATTGAAAATTGAATATTTATTGATAAAAAATGGATTAATGTGTCTTTTTCTACTTAATTAAGTATGAATATATAATTCTAGGTTTATGGTCATTATAAAAATTTAAATTATCTAAAAAAGTATTTATAAAAAAGAATATCTACCAAGTTTTGGATATAGCCAGGGGTACATTATTTGATGTATACTATCATATTATAGTGAAAGTATGTAAACAAATTTTTAAAAATTAATAAATAATTGAAAATTTAAAATACATCAATTTTTTAAATTAATATGAATGAACATGTAGAACTATTGTTAATTTTTATATTTAAATTATTCATATTTGTATAAATTCACAATAAATAAATAAAAAAAGATCAAGGCACAAGTAAAATTCCAGTATATTTTACTCCTCTATCAGAATTTTATGATTTTGTATGCGTACTGTTTGAACATTTTAATTGTTGTTATCGGTATCTTGGTGTTGAAATCGGGTTTGCTTTTTTTTTTTTTTAATTCAAATTTTATATTGGAAGTTGAATTATCTTTCTAGTTAGGGCTGGATGTTTTAGGTTAATTAAGTTTTGTATACAGAATCGTGTTCTTGGATTAACTATTTCTTGTTAAAAGAATTACGAAAATGATGCTAAAATGGAAAGGGATGCAGGACCGGAATTTTTCAGGTGCAACCGAAGGGTACCATTTAAATCCAATGCTTTATGAAGATAGTCTTTTATTTTTTTTTTAGGCAAATTACATTTTACCTCCCTGTGATTTAGTATTTTTATACATAACCCCCATATAGTTTAAAAATTATATATAACCCCTTCATAGTGTGATCAATAAAGGAACATATAAAAATGTTGAATTTATCTTTATTTAAAAACTCAAATGGCTGAAATGATCAAAATATATAAGCATAATATGCATGACACTCTAACCCCGTATGATTTTATATTTTACCATATAACCTTCTTATGATTTAATACTTTACAATATAATCCCCTTATGATTTTCAATATACATACATAACCCCTATGGTTAATAAATAACTTTTAACTTTACATAGGGCTATTTTTAACATTTTATAGCATTTTAATTGGCCATATTTCCGCAGCGGAGGTCCATGAGGGTACCATTAATTTTGCGAACCATATAAAAGTGGAATCTCCATTGGCAATCACTGACACGATATAATCTGGTGTTAAATGTGTTTTAGTTTCACCATGTTTTCTCCAAAATCAAGAGTAGTCAATAGGACTAGATATTGCCAGGCCAGAGCTTCGTCCCTCAAGTTTAGAAGTTTGATGGGAAGTTGAATCCTCACGTAGAAACTCAGCGTATACCCTTTTAGTGTTAATTAAATTTTTTATGATACGAGGAACACATTGCAGAACCATCCTTAATCAACCAATGCATTTTTTGAGTGTGTTTGTTTTTTTTTCACCAATTCTGACGAAGGTTTCAAAAAGCCCACTCGTTGAAAATCCATTTAACTCGAACATGCTGAGTATCTAATCCTTTTATCCCAAATGGTATGCCATATGGAATTGCAATTAATATGTTACTGAATGCACTGGTAAGTAATATGGTGAAACTGTTTTGGCATCCATATACACAATTCATATGGACTCTTTTCTTTTCTTTTCTTTATGCCCTTGTGACTGCTATCCATCTTAGTTCTACACAAACATGTTGAGTAAATTCAATGACTTTTTTGATCTTGAAATATATTGAGCGTAGCCCTACACATTGATGCCAATTTCACAAGTTGGTTGAGATTGTTAGAAGACAAACTCAACTAGTTAAGGCCCTACAACTTCTTCTTTTTTTTTTTTTTGTGGGTAGCGACATAGGTTAATCATATTGTAGTAGGATTTTTTTGTAGTAGGACTAATATCCCTTTGCAGGGTTATGCAAAGATTAAAAAATCCCCAATGGAAGTCTGTGAAATTTCAATATTGCCCTATTTAATTATATTATCATTTATACATTTTAAATTTTTATTTTTCCAATTTGCGTTTTTTTCTTGTTTCCCCTTCTCTTCTTCCACCATCATCACTAGTAGTGCCACTGCCAACTCAAGGTTCATCATTTTCATCATCATTCTTGGTCGCAGAAGATTATGGCACAAGCAAAAGAAAAAAGGAAGAAACAGAACCATGCAAAATATGCAAATGCAGTTTTTCCTCTGGATGCCTTTCAAATGACAACTAAGAAAATGAACTTAAAACTGGGTACAAACAAATAGATTGACAGAACAAGATGTTTAGAGACTAGAACAAAAAAACTTTGGCATCTTAATAATATATTATTGACATATCAGCATACTTAAGGTGGATAATATAACTTATTTTGCTTCATGTTTCAAATCTTGGCATCATCCTGCAACAAAAGACATTGGAAAGATTATTTGAGTGGAGCAAACTTGGTCAGTTGGATTAAGTAAAAGAACGTACTTTCATGCCGAGATATTCGGAAAAGACTCAAGTTGACGTTTTATCTTTTGAAGCGCCGCCACAACATCCTTCATATTAGTCCGATCTCGCGGGCAATCAGCACAGCAACTCAAAGCCAATTTGAAGATCACTGAAATACACTCCAATTTCTCATTGAAATGCTCATCTTGCCGCCCCAGTAAGTTTGCATCTATAACCTGAGTTGTTGCATCAGGCAGAGATTCTTCTATCCAACTCTTCAGGCTCAAATCATCTTTGAACATTTCATCACTAGGCTTCATTCTTGAAAAGGTTTCCATCAAAACTATACCAAAACTATACACATCAACTCTCGTTGACACCTGCCCTTCAAGTCCACACTCTGTGATATGCAAGGCAATACATCACGCTTAAAGCGAAAAAAAATAGAAAACTTGGAAGATTGACATATAATTCATGAAAAAAACAGATTAAAAAAAGCAACCAAAAAGAAGTTAAATATGCCAAACCTGGTGCCAAGTATCCTAGCGTTGCAAGTGACTTGGTATGCAGCACACTATTTTCTTCATCCAAAAACTTTGCCATACCAAAATCACTCACATGAGCAACCATACTTTCATCGAGTAATATGTTGCTAGGTTTCAGATCGCAGTGAACCACTGGTGTTGTATAACTAAAATGGAGATATTCCAATGCGGAAGCAACATCCATCATTATGCTTATCCTTTGCAGCAGATCCAGGCAATGGTTGTGGGAGTACAACCATTTCTCAAGGCTCCCATTGGACTTATAATCAAGCACTAAGGCTTTAAAGTCCAAGTTAGAGCAGCTACCAATCACTTTGGTTAGGTTTCTATGGCGAAGGTTGCGTAGAACTTCACACTCTGTATCAAAACTCCCGGAAGTGACTTCTGCTAGTAAAGTGAAAACTTTCACAGCTACAACTGTCCCATCCATCAAAATACCCTTATATACAGATCCAAAACTCCCTTTGCCAAGTAAATTGCTTTCATCATAACCATTGGTTGCTTGCACAAGTTCATAGTATGAAATCATTTTTGGCAATCCCATGGGCAACAAATCAGTGTTTCTTGAAATCCCATCCTTTCTTCGGCATCTTAAAAGTAAAATTGCAGCAGTTGTAAGAGCAATTGTTGTTGCTGCAATACCTGATAGAATGCCTAGCATATGAAATACTTTCTTCTGACTCGATTTGTGAATCCGAGGAGAAGGACATGGAGGAACATGAAACCTCTGAGCGCCACACAAGTCATCATTAGACATGAATGATTCATATGTGAAGTTCTCGAAAGGACCACTGGAGGGAATTTCTCCTCTTAAGCGGTTGAAAGAAAGATTAATGTGTTTGAGATATAAAAGTGTCTCCAAGGACTTTGGTATTGGACCTGATAGATTATTATTGGATAGATCCAAAAATTGTAAGCTTAACATGTGGCTGAGTGAGTCTGGAATAGGTCCCTGAAGTTTATTTTGTGCTAATGAAAGCGTTGCTAAACTTTGCAAGCCTCCTAAGGAACTTGGAATATTCCCATTAAGCTGATTTCCTGACAAATCTAATAGCGTTACTACCTTCAAATTTCCAGTTTCATAAGGTAGTGAGCCACTTAATGAATTATATGACAGGTTCAACGTCAAGAGATCAGTGAGGTTCCACAAGCTACCAGGTATGCTTGAGTCTAATAAGTTCCCGGCAAAGTCAATTCCTCTCAAAGAACTTATATTATTCAAGCATGATGGCATTGACCCACGAAACTGGTTTTGCCCCAGATAGATTTGGTACAATCTCTTAAACTTGCAAATGCAGTCTGGAATTGAACCACTTAATTGATTATCACTCAAACTCAAACCTTGAAGATTTTGCAAGTATTTCATTGTGCTCGGAACCGGCCCACTCAGGTGATTTCCTCCTAGAACCAAAATCATTAGGCTGCTCAAATTCCCAATTCCATCGGGAATGCTTCCCTTGATTCCGCAACCATATGCATAGAATCTCTCCATAGAAGTTGAGAGATTCCCAACTGACATCGGAAGAAAACCGTGCAGCGGATTTTCAGAAAAATATAAAATTTGCAGATACTTACAATTTGTTAAGTAACTGATAAAGCTCAATTCTCTCGATGAAGGTTCAGTTGTCAAATGATTATGAGCGAGATCCAAATTTGTTAGAAGTCTTAGGTTTCCAAGAGAGTTTGGAACTGGACCGCTGAATCTATTTCCCAGCAACTCTAAAATAGTCAGCTTAGATGCATTTGAGATTGACGCTGGTGTTACTCCATCAAACTCATTCCAAAAGAGAACAAGCCATTCAAGGTTGATCAATCCACAAGGACCACAACCCGTGGATGACGGAAGCCTTCCAGAAAGCCTATTGTTCTCTAGGCCCAGTTGTCGCAGTGTCGAGATGTTGAATATTTGGGCTGGTATGGATCCAGTTAGGCTATTGGAGCCCAAATCAAGTTGTTCGAGATGCTTTAGGCGGCCAAGCTCCTGCGGAATGCTACCTAGAGAGTTAGTTACCACGTTTACAAATGTTAGTGCATGCTACAGATTAATTTGATTTTTTTTTTCAGATAAAATACTTTCACAACAACCAAGAGATATTTAAGTCAATAGGCTTTGAAGACAATAGAAAGGCAAATTGGCATATATAATCAACATGGAATTGTTTTTTCTTTCAGATAAATGCATATATTTTTGCAGATTAATATGCTTAATAATTACAAACATGATAAAATCTAGAAAAAAAACATATAAAAAGATTCAAGCTTTTATATATATATATATATATATATATATATATATATATATATATACACAAAATAAAAAAAAAAAGGGAAGCCTAAGCTTTGGTAGTTTGCTGAGGTGATTCATATTTTGATTATTACGTCTGGAAATGTTATACGGTCTTTTTTACTACCACATATGTTTAATAAGAAAATTCTTTGTATTCTTCTTTAGTTACCGACTATTTCTTCAGGTTTGATAAGTGTTACCGAAAGTGTTACCGGATTTCCTTCATACAAGCCTTCAAATTACTAATCAATATATTATTTAATTGTTTGAGAATATATAACTAGTAATGCAAAAAGAGTTGGGCGATTACCAGCAAAAGTAATAGTCTCCAACGACGAAATATTGAACACCCCCCCACCCCAAATGGCAAAGGACAGGAAATCTGACTGTTAATCTTTGATGTTCACTATCTTCAATTTGTTTAGATTCCGAATCTCTATTAGAATTGTCCCTCGTAGAGAATTGATGTTTCTAGCTTTGGTGACATGAGATTTTACATTCAAGCACCCAGTGATTAATTAGCTTTGAAATATTTATCTAAAATATAAAACTTTGTAATGCATACCAAGGGATGCTTATTAATACACGCAACTTATTATGTAAATGCCTCTTTACATTTAGTCAAAATTCCCTAAATGACAATTAAAACATGGAGCCCTTTTAAATTATTAATCAATAGTTTTATATTTGATTGTCAGGTAAATACGGCAAATAGTTATATGCACATTTATCTGATATCTGCTAAAATTCAAGAGCTAGGATGGTACCAATCAAATTGTTCTCGTTAAGATATAGTCGCTTGAGCGCCGTCAAGTTCCCAAATCCTTCCGGTATTACTCCAATCAAATTGTTCTCACCAAGATATAGTTCCTGGAGTGCCGTCAAGTTCCCAACTTCTTCCGGCATCACTCCACTAAAGTTGTTGCCACCCAACCTCAGTACCTGAAGCTTCGAACATTCCGATAACGATGGTGGTATCGCACCACTTAATTTGTTGAGGCTAAGGTCAAGCCATGTGAGTCCTTGAAGACGGGGACATATGCTGGATGGAAGACTGCCAGATAAGCTATTATTTTGAAGAGCAATAACTTCCAGCGAGGAAATATTGAACATCCCCAGTGGCAGAAAACCGGAAAGCTGATTATAGTCCAGGACTATTTGCTTCAACTTGTTTAATTTCCCAATCTCCATTGGAATTGCTCCTTGTAGAGAATTAAACTGCAGATTGAACGTCTCTAGCTTTGACATGTTGGAGATAGAAGGTGGGATAAAGCCTGTAAAGCTATTGTTCTTTAGAGAAAAGTGTCGGAGTTGTTGGAAGGAACCAACCCAAGAGGGAATACTTCCGCTAAGCATGTTAATGCCTAAACCAAGGACTCGTAACCTGCGCAAACAAATCAGTTCGTGGGGAAGTTCTCCGTAAAAGTTGTTCCTGCTCATATCGAGGGACATGAGAAAGGAAAGATTGCCCAGTTGTGGAGGAATGGTGCCGGTAAGGCCCAAGTTGGAGATATTCAAGGCAGTGACTCTGCGGTGGCGAGAGCCGCAAGTGACTCCTCTCCAGTCACAAACTGAGGAAGTAGCCGACCAGTTGCTTGCCAAGATTTCGTGAGGATCCCCAGTGATTTTGGCTTTCAATGAGAGAAGGGCTGATTGATCCGTGGTAATGTTGGGGGTGGTCATGGCTAAGCAAGATAAGAAAGAACCTAGCAAGAAGAGTCCAAGGGCAAAATACAAGTGAGATAATTTCTTCATGATTATACTCTCAGTTTTGCTAGCATTTAAGACAATAGACACGGGCTAATAATGTCTATTACATCTCCTTATATATATACATACCAGACACTTGGTACATCTAATGCACGTATGCCAGGACAAAGATAGAGATAATAATAGCGTGAATTCTGACCGGATGAAATTTGGTTTTGGAATTATCTTCCAGATTAAAACATACTTCTGGATAGCAAGTCAACGCTGGTTCTTTTTTATTTTTTACTTTACATCAAATTTTAAAAACCTAAATACCCTCTATTTTCTCCCAGATCATTTATAGGGGATATTAGATGTTAATCCCCTAGGAAAAATTATCAATTACCAATGGTTTTCAATTTCTTTATTCTTTAGATAACCACAAATTAAAGCAAGTAAATCTAATCTACAATCGTAAAATTAAATAAAGTAAAAATGACAATAAAAAACTCCTACGGTTATGAAATTCCTTCATACTCTTACAAGTAAAATTACTGATTAATCGAGTGTTATTATCTTAACTAAACATGGTATAATTTCCTAATCTATGTAAAACATATTCTTGTAGTGAATCATCTATACTTGTTATCAAACTATAACTACTCTCGTAGTTATAAAATTAACTACGAGTTCATTTCTTCGATGAAATGACATGAAATAATACCACCAAAGCCAAAAAAAAGTTATTATCAAATTATAACTACTCTCGTAGTTCTAAAATTAATTACAAGTTCATTTCTTCAGTGAAATAACATGAAATAATACCACCAAAGCCAAAAAAAAAGTTGTACGTCTACTCTCGTGAGTGCATTTAGTGTTACATTTTAATTCTCATTGCAAATCTAATACATTGAAATTATCATAGTTAATGGCCAGTAATTATGATTACATAAATAAAATTGCTAAATAACTTGTTCAAAATCATAGTATAAAATAACCAAATAAACATCACAAATAAGATAGAGGAAATTCATCCACAACTCTAGACATACACTTTAACAACACATGATGAATATAAAATCCAAATTTGTATTATAACTAAACAATAGAATCCAATACAAAAGACAAAAGAATCCAACCATGAATCTCTTATTAATAGGGCTAATGTCTCTTCAAACTAAAGTCGGTCTTCTTTAAAATTAGAAACAAGCTTGGAAAATTGATTTTTTTTTTTAAAAAATGAAAGTTGAAAGGTGATTGAGCTTGTTGGGCCAAAGTTTTTTTTTTTTTAAACTGAGATCAAAAAGTTATTTGTTTAAGCAAATAAACTATCAAATGAAAGTATAAAAAATGACAGTGCCTAAACCCAACAAACAATAAATGAAGTATCAAAGTATTAAATTACCAAAATTGGAAGAAAGTGTCTAAAAAACTTGGAAGAAAGTATTAAAAAAAACCCTTTTACATAATCTTTTAAAGATTTAAACCGTAGAAACATATAAAAAGATGCAGATTACACTTAAAAAGAATACTTGGATAACTTTTTCATTCACATTTTGATCTTTAAGAAAACATATACGAGTCACAACATTAAGTGCTCGTGTCCTTCCATACAGGCATTTTTCGAAAAGAACTAATAGGTTGCATTTTGTCAGTTAATTTATGATTGTTTTCCCCTTAATTTTGGCCAAGTATTACATTATTTGGTAGATTCTATTTATTTTTGGTGATTGGTGATTGGTGTTTTTGTGGGGATCTGGAGCTAAAAGAAGTTAAGAACGTGATTTTTAACTAAGTTTCTATACACTTCGATGTCAGTGCATCAAGGTCTAACTTTACATGTCCAGAAACTCGAGATTTGGCACGTAATTTTTAATCTTGAATTTTAGTCGGTTTGAAGCCATGGAAGTCAGACTCTACAGCGCATAACTAGTCTCCTATTTGTATTAGGACACCAATTTTGGAAACAATCTTTTTATAGGAGATATAGGAGATGAAATCCGAAAAAATAGCATCGTAACCTTTTCTTTTCTCCTTTGTCGTAAGAAATGAACGGACATCTTTTCTTTTCTTGTTCATCGCACTTTTTGGAGAATGGCTGCAACACTAAACTCAAATATTTTGCGCGTGGCTTTTTTCATGATGATGAACTAAACACTTTATTCTAGTTAAAAACAATAGAGGATTTGGCTCATCTAAAATTGTGAGATCGAATTGATTATATTTAATTCTTTTATTACTGGTATTCTTATGTTCTCTAATTTAATTTCTTATTGCTATTATATTGTTTGAATATCAAGGGCGGCCAATTTTTAATTCAATCTAATAACCTAAAATCAATTAGACTAGTTAAATCTGTAATTATTTAATTGCTTTACAATAATCGTAACTGGCATGATTAGATTTGTGTCAGGGGACATATGAGTTAATTTAAAATAACTCTCGTGACGTGTTATTTGGTTAGAATAGGACTTCTCTAATTCTTAAAGTAATTGAAAATTTTAACTCTAAGATCGTACCTAGAGTTATTTCTTGATTAGGACAGTAGTTAATGATCGTACCTTAATCACCAATATAGCAAGAAGAAGTTGATTGTCATCGCGTGTTTGGCAGTTATAACTTTGTTTATCCATTAATAAGTTAAATTATTATTGCATCAATGATCAATTTTAGTGAACCATTTCCAAAATTATTCCTTGGTTAGAATTTATTTATTAATGTTTCAATTTAATAACTTATCAGTTAGGCCTTGTTATTTGAGTTATTTAATTATTCTTATTTTTATAAAAATCTCCCTTACTCTATGCTCTAGAAGAAACGGGTTATTCTCAGTCCCTGTGGATTCGACCCTTCTCACCGTTATATATAAAATTTATATTTTATTTGAATAGATATTTATTATTGTACAAACTCAACATCTATCAAGAACAACCGTTCGTTCCGCCAATTTTTGTGGCTATATTGAGCACTCGCTCTCAACTCACTTTCGGTCGCACTCGCTCTCTCAACTTCTTCATCTGTTTTTTCTCCAAGACTTTTTTACAAGTCTTCGACGTGTATTCTGGGCTAACGGGCTAAGACAAACCAAGACGCCAAGACTTTGGGATGTACAACGACGCTACAATGCCATTTTTCCACATAATCGGAACATTATCTTCCCATTCGACACAGAACACAATTTTGTATTTTATACTTATCTTCCCAATCAAGTCGAAAGACCTACAAACAAATTTTGCTGATCTTAGACGTAAATCTATGAAATTGTATTGCTTAAATTCATCATTCAATCGTTTTCCTCAGTTGCAGTCTTCATTGCAGACAGTACCATAGTCGTCATGGTGGTGAGGTGACTACAAATACAAAAGGGTACTTTGCTGGTGTTAACATTTGCATTTAGTGATACAAATTTACCTCTTTTTTTTTTTTTGTTCCCACTCTTTCAAATATAGTCCAATGAGAAGCAAATTGAAGGTGTGAGTAAAACATCTTTGCTTCCTATCTTTTAACTTCATTTGATGACATATAGAAGTATGTTGAAGGGAAAAAATCTTTTGAGTTTACACAAAATTAACAAAAGAAAACAAGAAAGAAGAAAATTCTTGTCATCACAAGATGACTTGAAATAAAGCAAGAGATGCAGACACTTATGCAAACTACAAATGAGTTGCTCTATGCTCTCTATTTTGGAAAATAAGTCGATCTCGGATCTTAAATAGGAAGTATGGATTAAATGATCATCATATATATCTTATAGATTTTCACGAGAAGAATTTCCGACCAATTGTAATTTCAATTATTTGAGATAATTTGTACAAAAGGAAGACCAATTATTAATAGAGCTGCTATATTAAAATGCAATAATACTTTATCCAGGAGAATTCACAATTAAAGAGCATTGTCCAAAATGAGGAACGAAAGTTATAAAAAGTGGACCAACTATAGCCAAACGCAAAATCTAAGAACATTGGACGAGTAAATTTTTAAAAGCTTTTCTTAAAGCAAAAGCTTGGGGAGGAGGCGAGGTGGAAGGCAATGGGCATGGGGCATTTTCCCAAAATTATAGGCCAGCGAGATAAGGACTTCAAAAGTATTTCTCAAAATTGATGGGGGATCAAAGTTCAAAACTACAACCCAAAACAATTCAAGTCTCCAATCTTTGTAGTCAAGGTCTTCTTTGAAAGTGAATGTTGGACTTTCTCGGCCAAAATGTTAGAGCTTTATGAAGATGATGACAGGTGGGCGACATTTAATTTATGGTTCTTATCCTCGCAAGCATTCTTTCATTTTCTGGCACAAGTCAAGCTCTATTACCATTTGATACGCTAGCAATTCGCATAGACAGTGTTTTGGCACCTATATATTTATATGGCTTTATTACGTTATTCAAAGTCTCTTCTTTTTATACACTTTCTTAGTTGAAGTATAAAGTTTTGTCAATGCCGAGTTGTGGTGTCCCAAAACCTGCATAAATAGTTAATTAACAAATCCATATAGAATTTGTTGAAATGACTTCTCAAAACATCTAATGCACGTATGCGAGGACAAAGATAGAGACAATAATAGCACCGATTCTGTCCTATTGGAACTTGGCAATCGACTTTTCTTCCAAATTCAAATAAATATATGTTAATCTTCTTCTTTTTTTTAAGTAGTTTTTTTTTTCTAAAATCTTGTGATTCTTCTTTAGGAAACAAATGCTTAACTAAATCTTGGGTAATACTGCTCAAAAAGTAATTAATAAGGACCATCATCTTTCCAGAATCAGGTCTTCCCTTCAAAAGTAATTGTTAACCTTGTATTAACAGTCTTCCGTCTCATCCTTTCAACATAGACCATCGTTCAAATAATGTAAACCACAAGTATATATTTCCAGCCCCCCGGGTTAGATCACCCGGTCTGCGGCTGGAAAACCACTCGCAAGGTCGTGGGATCGAACCTCACCTAACGCCTGGGTGCGGTTGGGGTGGCGCTGTACTCCAGGCGCAGGGGATTAGTCGGGCCGCCTTCGGGTCTTGACCCGGACACCCCTGTGTTGACCAAAAAAAAAAAAAAAAAAAAAAAAAGTATATATTTCCAAAAAAATCAACTCCT